AAGGGGTGGGACAATCGTTTTATCTCCGGTACCACAAGCCTGTACTGGTGTCCGCGTGTGTTACATGACATTCTCAACTTAAGCAGGGGCTTCAACATGGTACAGTCACCGAGATGTAATATGCGGTAGGTCCTGATAAGATTGAGTCGTACTCGACGATACGACAACGTGTCGAGTCCTAGTTTCTCGCGTCGGTCTTCGTATGTTAATCCTTCTAAACTTGGAATGAGCATGATAGCGATGTACTGAACCTGCTCGATCTTCTGTGCTTCGCCTCGGTTGAGTGCATGGTAGGCAGGTGAGCCGTACTTCAGCACTGGTCTTATGATGGAAGGGAAGAGGTGAGTGGCGACCTCTTCAGACCAAGTACAGAAACTGCGGTTGATCGCCCAAACATGTTTCAGCCCGCTGCAATATAGTCTGTTCGTGTCGTCAATGGACTTCAAATCGCATCGCGAGCGTGCACCTAAATCCTTCACGGAAGGTGTTGGATGTAGCGGCCGTCATTGTTGTAAGTTCGGCCCTCACCACTCTTCCACAGGCTAATAAATACCGACTTGAATGGGTTGACTGGGAGGCGAACTTCTGCAGACCACATGAAGAGGCGGTTGAGGTCTCGCTGAATTAGTACCCAGTCGTCGGATGTGCTACTCTCTAAATCTTCAGGTTGCGTACATTAGCTGAAGTGTTTTCTACCTCTAGCTAACGTGTACAGTGATCTTCAGGTTGTCCGCAAACAGGGCACACGGCGACTGGAGAAGTTGTGGTAGATCGTTGATGTAGATTTGGTGCAGAGTGGGCCTTAGCACCGTGCCTTGGGGTTCCCCAGTAGTAGATGGATACCAATCACTTAATTTGCCGTCGACCGGTACCCTCCACTTTCGTCCAACGAGACAGTCCTGCGTCCACCGGAGCAGTGATCCACCAACACCACACTCCTAGCTTGTGAAGGAGGACCACATGGTTTACCTTGTCGAACGCCCTACTGAGATCGATGTCGATTGTTTCGATAGACTTCCTCTGATTCACTGCCTGAAACCATTCATGCCTTGTTACCAACGCTTTGGTAATGCACAAGCGGTCTAGCATAAAAACCACACACTGTGTGGGCGTCAATATATCATTTTTTTAACAGCTGTAATTTGATTTTTTCCTACCTTTTAACAGCTTCACTTTGCCCTAGCTATCTGCATCCCCATACACCCATAATCTTTTCAGTTAATGAACGAGCCTCCAGTATCTACAGACATGAGGTCCTCTCATCCACACCATATCTCTGCACCGCTGCATTGATCTCTTGAGGATTTCGCAAAAGTGCGGACAGTTCACTAAAGTTTCACCTAACCCGTGCACCTGTTTCAATGTCTGGATTTGTCCTAATGGTGAGTGTCAGACGCGGAAATATACAAAGTGGAGTTGGTGGATAACGGGACTGATGAGAGGTAGCTTCCTGCACATCGTCGCAAGGAGTTCAGTTGCCTTGACATACATCCTCACAACAATGCTATAAGTCATTTGGCAGCTTAAGTTTGATAAATCCGTCGCTTGATTAGAGGGTTGCACTGTCTGAAGAGTAGTAACCTGCAAGTCAGTGGTTAGTGAGCGACGCTATATCACATCTAGTAACAGCCACAGCCTTACTCCGTAGCTCAGTGGTCTCAGTCACAAACTGACAGCAGTTGACTTCCTGTTTCGCACTGCTGACAATTTCCGGAAGGATTCAATGGCTTTACAGTGCATTTCCGGGCATGTGCTGGCTGTCTGACTGAGTCCAAATGTGATGTATCTCTATCCATACAATCCAGCTACCCGTACTACTACTTTGGAATATTGATGATCCTAGAGGGAATGGGTCAAGGGCGCAACTTAAAAATCAGAAGGGAGGGAACGAATGCAATAACGCCACTAAGTTCATCGATGATATATCTAACCGCCGATGTGGATGACCCCGAGGACCTTCCCCATGTATCAGACAAGCACCAACCCAACCAAGCCTATCGGCGATTTATCTCATGGTCTTTTTCCATGTCCATTACTGATCAAGTCTGCAACAAGCCTTGCTGTTGGCCGGTTTGTTCAGTTGTGGTCTCCCTCGCTCCACCCCCAAAAGTTGGATCTCGGGAAGATCCTCGGAATTGCTGGATCGCCGACGGACGTTACCTGCTGGCGCAGGGTACAACGAACACCGCCGGTCTATTACGCAACAGCTGAAAGCAAGCCTTCGCTCTGATCGTGAAGCTTGATAGTCAAAACAAGCTGATGAGATAGAAGTCGCTGCATCAGCTGACAATTTCCGCCGTGTATTTTGCATCGTCAGGGCCACCGGTTGCGATTCTCACGCTATCAGCCAGAGGATTTGCGAATCAGACGGCACGAAGATCACCAACCTTCACAAGTGATTGGGTCGATGAGCAGAGCGTTTCACTCTTCAATTCAACCACCCAACACAACCCCCTGTGGCACCTCGTGCCCCAATGGATGATGCTTAGCCTGTCCCCACAGGCCCTCCAACTGAAGCAGAGATCCGCGATGCAATCCAATCTTTGAAACTTCACAAGGCTCCTGGTCCCGACAGTCTACCACCGGCTCTATTCAAAGATAGCGGGAGTGCATTTGTCAGCGAAATCCTATCGCTGTTCACGAAAGTTTGGACTGAGGAGAAGGTTTCAAACTCATGGGGAAGATCGGTCATTGTTCCGACTCACAAAAAAGGATCCCGCGACGATTGCTGCAACTACCGCGGAATCTCGTTACTCTATATCGCATCCAAAATCTTCGTGTCGGTCCTACTTCGCAGGCTTTCAACGACCGGAGAGGAGTTTTCCCGAGAAGAACAAACCGAATTTCGTCCAGGCCGCGGCTGCATCTACCAAATCTTCACGCTTCGCCAACTTCTCGAACTTCGTCGCATCCACCGGCGGCCAACAATCGTAGCGTTTTTAGACATCCCAGCGGCATGCGATTCAATAGATAGATCTGCGTTGTGGGACTTTTTACTAAAGAAAGGTGTGTCCGATAAGTTTTTAACCATCCTGAAAGAACTTTACAGTCACACATCGGGCAAACTCAGCGCTTACGGCACTCTCTTCGTTTACTGTGACCAGCAATGTTCGCCAAGTTTGCCCTATTTCACCTTTCCTCTTCAATTTTGCCGTCGAAGATGTTGTCCAAAGAGCACTGGAACTTGTCCATAATTGCGGTGTTGAGCTCCTCCCTAGAGACAGAGTCACTAATTTGGACTACGGCGATGATGTCGCCTTGCTGGCGGACGACCCACAAACCGTCCATAGCGCTTTGGACCGCTTAGTGACGGAGGCGTCTAAGTATGGCTTATGCTTCACTCCGGAAAAATGTAAAACGCTGCTCCAGGACTGGCAGGTGCCTGAACCCGCGCTCACCATTGCTGGATATGTTCTGGAGCAAGTCCCTTGCTTTAATTATCTAGGGAGTTGCATCACGGCTGTTGGCGGTGTTGGAGTTGAAGTCCTACAACGGATTGCATAGGCCCGCCTTGCATTCATGAAACTGAGACACCTATGGCGTCGTCGTGATGTCAGTCTCAAGCTCAAGGTCAGGGTGTACAATGCTTCCATTCGTGCAGTACTCTTCTACGGCTGTGAGACTTGGCGTATTCGCTCGGAAGACATGAAGCGGCTGCCAGTCTTCAACAACCGCTGTCTACGAAGGATTGCTAGGGTGTGGTGGCAGCACCACGTAAGCAACGCAGAGGTCCTAGATCTAGTGCTTGAAGCGAGTAGTGTTAGTCTTCAGAACCTTACTCTTCGGCATCGCATTCCTTGGCTCGGGCACGTTTTGCGCATGCCAGCCCATCGCCTTCCACGTCGAACGCTATTTGCACTCTCAGGGAGCGGTTGGAAAAGGTGCTGCGTTGGACAGCCAATGACGTGGAGAAGGAGCATGAAGAAGACAACCTCAAGTTTGGCGGCAGTTGGACCAGTCCGTCTTCCAGGTTGAGGACCACGAGATGCTGAATTTCAGTGGTTGGAAACATTGAACGTCATGGTCCGCAACAGACATCAGTGGCGTCAATGTTATTCTGCCATTTTATCCCCCCTTTAATGCACACACATGAAACAAAATCAAAATGGCGTGTGTAAAAGCAGAAAGCTCGTTTTCCTTTTTTATCGCAGTTCGTGTTTCTACCTTCTCCACTTTTTTCTTCTGCCATGGTTCTGATGGCACAGTGTCTGTTAACAGACTGCGAATATATATATATATATATATATATATATATATATATACCATTACTGAGTACCTCGGGTTTTCATCCAACTAAATGCGGCCTTGATGAAGAATGCACTTCGACATAGTCAGGCTACTGACCTGCGGGGTGTGTGACCGTGTTTGGTACTCCAATACCACCGTAAGATTTGCTATCCAACACCGGGCGACGAACTTAAGTACTACTCACTCGGGTCTTCCCCCAAATATGTGTGTTATTCTGCGCAGTACTCAAGCAGTCCCTCTTTCAGCAGCGCGGAGCGGCCAAGTTTCGGATGCATGCGGGACTATTACTTGCGCCGCAACGTTGTTAGCCATTTCCTTAACCAGCAGGCTAATGTTCCACCGCCTCCATCTTTGTCTGAGGTCTCAGAAAGCTTTGGGATGCGGCCACCACGGTGATTCAACTATCTGTGTATGCAAACCGATTCCAGCGTTTCATTCATTGAATAACTACATCCTTCTGAACTACTTTCTGCTTCTGAGCGTCCGAAGCACATGCGATAACGTGCACCGCCACCACTTGTGAGTGACCGCATTTTATAATCCCCCTAGTCAATGCTCATGCCACATTTGTACTCTCTCGTTTTCCACGAGTCGATCGCTTTTCTTAGCTTACATCTTGTTTACCCGATCCCACCGAATTCCTCTTTCTAAAATAAGAGTTTCTACATTCTCCCAATTGTCCTGATTTCGGTTGGTCTTTATGTTTCGTTACTATCGCTAAAACTCATGGTACAGTTTCCTCTTTCGTTAAGGCAACTTCTGCGCAACTTGTCCTCCAGCACACAAAGCCTAATTGACACCGAGACGGACAGAATCCTGATCACTGCTGGTTTCGTTCATGGCCTGGATGCTACACACAACTTCCCTGATCATGTCAATCAGTCTGCCAAAGAAGCCGTGGACACTACTGTTTCCTCGTTCGAGGAAGAATTATACTGGCGAAATGATTTTCGACCACTTTGTGTCTTCAGCATCGACCCAAGTACTGCCCGCGATTTAGACGACGCTCTTCATGTGCGGCGTTTATCCGACAAGGAGATTGCCACACTGACCTCCGAAGGCTGTTCTGATGCTGCATATGAGGTAATTTGGTTTGTGTTTCGGCCTCCTGGCTTCTTCAGAGACAACTGTGCATCCTGTTTGTTGCGGTTAGCTTTGCTAACCGGCTCTGTGAACGCGGATCGGGTGTTGGGAATGCATCTTACACTCAAGGCATGTGTGGTGCTTGATTACTTTTCATCCATCATGTGCTAGATGTTACTAGTTCTGTTTTCCTCTCCACTGTTGCTTTCTATACTCGGACAACCTTTTCCTCTTTTTATACAACTACGAGGGTCATTCAATAAAAAAGGTGAATTTTTCGGTATAAGTACTTCTAATACAGATAGAAGCTTACTTTCTTTATTTTTCAACGTAGTCTCCCAGCACTGTCACACACTTTTCCCATCTGTGCACAAACTTCCGTATTCCCTCAGCGTAAAAATCTTTGGACTGATATCTCAGCCAGTCGCTCACAACACTTTTGACTTCATCGTCACTTTCAAACTTCGTGCCTCTCGTGAACGCTTTCAAGGGACCAAACAAGTGAAATTCTGAAGGGGCAAGGTCTGGGCGGTAAGAGGGATGAGGGAGCAGCTCGCAGCCCAGCTCGTTGATGGTCTACTGTGTGGGGCCTTGCGTTGTCATGATGCAAGATGACTCCTTCTGACTGATGACCCCTGCGTTTGCTCTTTATGTCTTTCTTGACCTGCCTCAGCAGTTCACAGTAGTTGTCACTGTTCACAGTGTTTCCTTTCTCAAGGAATGCAATGGTGATTGGGCCTTGCATATCCCAAAAAACGGTGAGCATCACTTTCCTCGTGGACCGCTGGGACTTGAACTTCTTCTTCAGCGGAAAGCCTACGTGCTTCCACTCCATGGACTGCCGTTTGGACTCAGGCTCATATTGGCAAACCCATGTCTGGTCACATGTGACCACCTTCAGAAACTCATCACCATCCTTCTCATAGCGGGAGAGACACTGCTGGCACAACTCGACCCTCCTCTGTTTATGCTCTGCAGTAAGCCTCTTTGGCACCCACCGGCAACTGACCTTCGAGTATCCAAGGTCACCATGGACAATTTTGTGTTCTGTCCCAACAGATAAGCTCAAAGTCCTTGCAATGTCATCTACTGTCACCCTTCTGTCCGACTGAATGAGGTCATTGACTGATTCGATCACCTCAGGAGACCTCACTTCTGTAGGCCTCCCAGGCGTTTCTTCATCCTCAACACTGCTCCGTCCTTCTTTAAACAATTTTACCCACTTATGGACCTATTTTCGGCTGAAACATGTGGCACCATACACAGTTGACATTCTCCTATGAATTTCAACTGGTTTGGATTCTTCAGCAACCAAAAGCTTGATAACTGACCGCTGTTCAATCCTGGAGCATGCTTCTTGATCGGCCATCTTTGTTAATTGTTACAATTCTCAAAGTTTTTTTTAATCTGCAAAAGAAATTACATCGTGTGAAAAAGAATTAAAACAACAAAACTAAAAAAGTAGGCTTCTATCTGTATTAGAAGTCCTTATACCGAAAAATTCACCTTATTTATTGAATGACCCTCGTACATTGTGGACACGACTACTGCAACACACGCACACACACCGATTCTAAGCTCCTGATTTGAATGTTACCAATCGAAATAACTATCTCTCGGTCTTACTTGCAGTTTACATCTCGGTAACCACAGCCTAATCCGCGTATCTGGGAGCTGTCGTGGTTAACGGGCGGTGCGGGGTAATTGTCAAAAGCCCACTGACATAAATGTATTGTTGAAAGTTGACTCGTATCTGCATCGTTGCGGCCAGTCATATTTGTAATAATGTAATGTAATGTTATTATTGTAATGTTATTATTTTTATTCTTTATGCGGCTTTCTTGGTTATAATTTTATTTTATTGGCATCCAGTCTCTCGCTGGTTACTAGCATCAGGAAGGCTTCACCCCGATCTGGTTGCTATTTATGTGAGCTACGATATAAGCTGGCTCAGAAAATACTACAGTGGGCATCATGCCTTTGATTTTCCTCCCACCTTAGTTCACTCCTCTTAGCGCCGGTTGTTCGACTATCACAAATTAGCAGCAACACTAGGCGAACTGATGTCAAACACCAACCTTATTTTTAGTAAAATACAAGTACATTCACTTTCTTGGGAAGTTTCGTTTCATCTAGACCCTGCCAAAACGTCACTAAACACCCCGAAATGTACTAGCTGGACGTTTCGCCTTATTCGGGACTCGTCCTTACCGTTGGATCCTGGTGGATCCGGACGCGCGACTTATGCCACTGAGATCTGGGTGACGGCGGCATACCGGCTTGACTGATTTCTAACTGTGCAATCTTGTGCTGCCTATCCTCCACCGTCATGCAACATATGAACGTGCAGAGGACACGGCTGACCCCCAGAGCAGCCACCATTCGAGGTGGCATGTAATTTGCTTAGGCGATTACTCTTGCTTTGCGAGTAGTATGGTGATTTCTTCTATTTTTGCTAAGCCATGTGCATCCACTGACATCGTTCGTCCATTGCGCATTGAATTCCGTCTACGACGGATGATGTGTGTGCACTAATGCTATCTAAGCCAGTAAAGATCACCGTATGCTTCATTCGCTAATTGTTGGCTGATTTGTTACGTTTTGCACTTGTCGTATGTGCGCACTATTCCACGCCACATTAGATTTCTCCTTTGCTATGGTATGGTAGTATTTTGTATCTGTCCCCAGAACACAACCAGCTGCAGAAGAATTGGTTGTATCGAAGCCTTTTATTACATTAGCAGCGCAGTTAAACGAATTCAAACCAGTACTTCTGTTGTGCTGTGGCCCCCTTGACTGTTTCCACCCACCAACGCCAGTAGGAACACAACCAACCAACTACGAGGATTCAGAGGTTCTTTTACATGGGGAAACCACTTTGTTATATAAAACGACGCAAAACCAAAGTACGGAAAGCGTGCGGACAAGTAAAACTAATAAAAACTGAACAAATATAGAACCAATCAGGTGCACACAACGAACGGAAAGTTAATGGTAGCGTCAGAGTAGGACTGCGATCGGTAGGCGAAAGCAACAACCCCAAAGAGTCAATAGGAATGGCAAAATTATTCGTTAAAACAAATGTCAATAAACCGCTAGTGCAAGACAGTCTGCAGCCCTGTACGGTTACACAAACATCTATACATATATTGCACAATTGGTAACCGAAGAATATTTCATTACAGGTTTGTGATGGTGGTTTGGGCGGTATCTTTCAGCTAGGTGCCGATGTTCTATAGCGTTGAAATTCAAATGACCTTCATTTTCACGGTGATCCACTATTCATCCATAAAACCTGTTTCGCGTATTCCAATTCGAATAATAATGTGGAAGGTGTCAGCTGTACGCTGTAAGGGGGCTTCGTTGCCGCGCACCCACTACCAGTCGCGCGTGGGCTGAGTATATCGTCTGGACGCCCGCCCCTACTCGGATTCGAACCGGTGATCTTATGATTGCAAACCAGGCGTGCAGAGCACTCGGCCATCGGCTGACATCTCAATTCTATTGCCGTACTAACCCCAGCATTTGCTTCTTTTTGTTTCAAATGCAATTATGATGTTCTCATACTTATTTTCTTGTGTACTGACTTTTGTACTTTAACCGTGTTCTCAAATTTGGGTCTTTTTCTGGACGACGACACTGACAGCTGATCGTAACTGACCTGTCATTTTTTTATTTATTTTTATGTCATTTTGGCACTTATGCTTATCATCAACCTATTTGCCAGCCACTCAGTGAACTCAATCTGCTCTCCTTCATCGCATACATGATAAGCCACATCAACCACCGTGGTTATTGTAATCTTTTTCTTGCCACGAGTACCTGTTTGCGCTTCTACCCTCCCATTTCAGGTCGGCATCCACATAGCTGATGTGTCTTACTTTGTTCGTCCGCGGACCCCGCTGGATCAGGAAGCATCTACAAGGGCAACGACTATCTATCTGGTTCAACTCTGTGTACCCATGCTTCCCGATCTACTGTCTGAACAAGTGTGCAGTCTGAATCCGGGCGAGGACAAGCTGACATTTTCGGTGGTTTTCAAGGTCAACGTCAAGGGTGAGGTGTGTGCCCAGTCTCTCGATTTTGGTACCGAATCCTGTTTGTTGTCCGCGTCATTTTCATGCTATTTTTGATGGCCCCTCTCCTTTGTGCTTTGGTTATCTATACCTCCCCCTAGAATACATTGTATAGTCCCGTATGGTAGCTACTTACATCATACCCAAAACCCGAATCTTGCCTAACAAACGCAAGGTTGCGAAGAGTACTCTTCTCGACAAATCTCTTCAGGCATTTACCATTATAAAATGGAATGTTAGAGCACAAACACCTTATGAAACCAAAATGGAGAATAGTGAAATCACTGTAATATTCCTCCGGTCCTGCTTTCCAAGCTCTTCCGTGTCCAAATAGTATGTCGTGCCGTAATAGACCCTTAGAGCCGCAACGCAAAGTAGATACCTCGTAGACGGCTGGAGGCTCAGCCGCCTGGTAATAGGCTTATGTAAGGGAAGCAGCTATGGGTTACCACGAAAGAGGGAAGGAAAAGGTGCCGGAGAGGAACAAATGGGTAAGGCCAAGAGGAATCAACACTTATCGATCTCTTAACTGTTAACTTGTTACCATGACACCTGTGGATCGGCTACATCACGACAGTCGGAAACTCAAATGTCATGACCAATAACATCGTCTATCTTAGGTGATAAAGCAGGTGTTGGTTGATCGATGAAATCCCTAAAGCCTTCACGTTGCTTCAGTGTTCAGTGCGCTGTATCACTACATTCCCCCTTCCACTTCCCCTTAGGTTGATCCCAGTGCATGCGTTTTCATCCTTATTCACTTTTGCATAAACGATCGTTGCGCTTCAGTGTTTCTAGTTCCTAACGTTGTTTGTACTCTACGGCCCATTTGACCTTTTCACCTAGTGATAACTATAACTAGCTTGTATTTCAAAATCCTACAGTAAACTTCTAATCCCTGGGCCAAGCGTTGTTCGCGAATCTCTGGCTTTGTGACCAAGACGTAATCCGTCAACCACCATGTGTAGGGTTCCACTCTCAGCTCAGGCTATTTCTACTTGACGAGTCCACATCAAAAGGAAACCGGCAGGTCGTGGAGGAGAACAACACATCACTCTCCTCACACGTTGATCGAAATGGTAGTGGGTTACTCCGCAGTAAACCGTGGTCTACTCGAGATTTCATGTCGTAATCCAAGTATACATACTGAACTCAAATATCGACCAATTCAGCTTGTGTGCTGCATATCGTTCGTCGATTGAAACTCGCCTTTTTTGGTCACGTACCAAGCGATGTGTATCTTCAAAATCCTAAATTCCTCATTTCACTTTAGTGCGTTCCTCTAATGTTGACTAACGGTTTTTTATTGTCTACAGATTCTGAAGGCTTGGTTCGGCCGATCTGTAATACGCTCCTGTGCCAAGCTGAGCTACGAGAATGCTCAAGTAAGTTTTACCTTGCATTGACTTCAGTACAACATCCTCTTACGCATACTTCCATGAAACCGTTGTCAGTTTTTGACAATTGTTTTCTGCTCACCTGTGGTGGCAACATCTCGTAAGCGACACAGAAATCCGAGACCTTGTTCATAGAGCAAGCACTTTATGCTTCGTAAACTTTATTCTCCGACACCGCGTGCGTTGGTTCTGCCATGTATTACGCATGCCAGCGTTCCCCGGAAGCGATTGGAAAAAGTGCCGCGGTGGGCAACCAATGACTGGAGATTCAGCATGAAGTAGGCAACCTCCATCGGTCCGGTCCGTCTTCCAGGATGGTGACTACGCGACTCGAACTGCCAGTAGTTAGAAAAGCTGGAGGTTATGACACGCAACAGAAATGGATGTTGACAGTGTTGTTCAACCGCATCATTTGTTAGTTATTGTCTAATCAAACATAGACAACTCAGAAACAATACTCAGAATAACACGTGTAATACTCCAAAATTGGTTTTCTTCCTCTATTATCTTTTGTTTACCCCTTTTTTGCCATGGTTCCGATGGCACATTGTCTGTCATCGAATTGTATATACATATATATATATATATATATATATATATATATATATTGTGTGAAATCTGTTATTTGGCGTACTCTGTGTTTTTGAGCTCATCATACCGACTCCAGGATTGAACAGAAGCTACCCAGTCGTCTCTTGAGACTTCCGATTGAGCGAATTTGTTGGTAAGCAAATTGTTCTATCCATCGTGACACTTCGGCTCGCTGCGATGCTCCCATTTCCTTACATCTTACCTTCTGAATCAGAAAACAAAAATGAGATCGCAGTACGCAGTACGGACGCTTCGCTGCCACGCAACCACCAACAGTCGCACGGGGGCTAATGAGACGGTTGCTCGGTCCAATATGCAGGGCCCGAACCGATAACATCCGCGTTGCAAGGTGGACTCTTTGTCCCTTCGGTAATGGACCGGCAAATCAAGTCTTTAATGAGGAATATTGATCACATCCATCTCCGTGGTTGCGCCCCCTGTCAGCATCAGAATCCTCGCACGGGCATTGTATGTAAAAATGGTCTGCTCTAGGTCACGTAGCGACCAAGTCATCATTGCGCTTGTTGGGCTAGAACAGACAAATTAAATTAAATTTTCTCATGTCTTCTCTTTGGCTGCTCCAGAGATCTGTTGATCGACACAACTTGTTCAATACCAGTCATAAACTTAATAAGCTCCTGTTATTCCCTGTCATCCACACGCTATTATGGCGGCATTTCCGTTTGGTCTTGTAGCCTGCTTGTGACGCAGGTCCACCTCGTTGTTGACTCGTCGGAACAACATTTTCTACCGTTGATTTTTTGCGCGATTCTAGGATGCGACAAGTTTCTTGCTGTGTCAACAGGCTTTCATCATATTGTATTTTTTCTGATCACCTGCCGTTCCAATTATCTGCGAACATTTTTCTGGATGTTACGCGTAGCGCTCTCGTTCGAAACCTTTGTCGAACCGCAAATGATTAGTGCCTTCGAGGTCGTTCCCATCCAATATCCGTAATCGACATCAGCAATGTGTCCGAACTTTCTGTAGTGCTATGCTATTACACGGCGACTAGCGGGCTGGGATATTGTGAGGCCGACTTCATCTACCCATATGCTTGATCAGGTCAAACACCTATCCCATTACACCGTCAGTCGAATGGTTCCGTTTAATATAGAGTTGTAGACTGATAGCTCAGGTTGTTCAGATGCCTGTTGAACGGTTAGCTGAGCTTGGTAATTTTGTTGTAAACGTTTCGTCACCAATCGACGTGACATCATCAGTGCGTAGTTGCGTGGCGTGCAATAGCGTAGAGGAACCTCGGGGAGAGTGCGCTGAGCGTGGTGTGCGTGCGTTTTTATACCGCCGTGGTTAGCCGTGGAGCCGGTGAATCCTATTGGTTGGGACTTCCATCCGCGTTCAGCTTGGTTAATGGGCAAATGACCTTTGACCTCGCCCCTTGTGTTTTGTTGCCTTTGTCTTCTTGCTCTTGCGAGCGAGTCTGCCGTCAGTTCTGGTTGTCTAGTCCCACGTTCCGCTGGATTCAATCGATCGAGTTGACGGTCGTTCATCAGTAGTGTGGCGTATACTGCGTTCAGTTCGATGTGTCGATTGTTTGAATGCGTTGTAGAGTACCAGGCTTCCAAATCTCCTCGCGTGTTTTGTACTTCCATATGCTAGGATCTTTACATTCTCCAGATCGAAATGGTGGACTTCTTGATCTTCATGCACAGAAACCAATGATTGTGGATCATGTCTTCTGACGGCTGCCTTGTGTTCGGTGATTCGTGTATAAAATTTTATTCCGGTTTGTCCGACGTAGTTTTTCTCGCAGTCGCTGCATTTTATCTGGTAACTGACATTGCATTGGTCGGCTTGATTGACTTTTCCTTTGGGTCTTGAGATCAATTTCCTTAGGGTGGCACTTGGCTTGTGAGCCACAGAGATTCCATGTGATTGCAGCAATCTTTCTGTTAGTTCGGAGACGTTCTTGATGTAGGTTAGCACTATCCGCTTGTTTGCTTGATCAGATGACTGATGCTGTTGTTGCTGAGGCATTCGTTTCTTTAAGCTTCTTCTGATTAAATTTCTCGGATAACCGTCGTTTCTAAATACTCGATATAGGTGATTTTCTTCATAATTCCGCGATTCGGCTGTGCTGCAGTGCGTTTGTAATCTTTTGAAGAGGGTTTGAATGCAGCTCTTCTTGTGATTCATCGGGTGATTGCTGTAGTAGTTTAATCTCTGGTCCGTATGCGTTTTCTTCCGATAAACGCACGTTTTCATAGATTCGTCTGTATTCCTAGTGACTACTACATCCAAAAATGGTAGCTTGTTATCATCCTCTAAGTCAAACATAAATTTGAAATCCTCGAATGCGCTGTTGAGCAAATCGTGCGTGTGCCGTTTTACGATGACAAACGTGTCATCCACGTACCGTATCCAGAGTTTTGGGCTGATAGATGGCAGTGCAATGCGCTCCAATTTCTGCATTACGGCTTCTGCACTGAGCCCCGAAATTGGTGATCCCATGGGTGTTCTTCTCAGTTGCTGGTACACTTGTTCATCAAAGCGGAAATAAGTGGTTATGCAGAGGTTCAGGAGTTCCAAAAGCTTTCAGGTCGTATGGTTGTCGTTGGGCTTAGTTGATTCTCAAGCAGTTCTAGCATGATTTCTTTGGTCAATTCGTGACGGATTCAAGTGAAGAGTGCGGTGACATCGAATGAAAGCATTATTTCGTCGTCTTCTATTCTGACACTCCGCAGTTTGTTGAGGAATTGTTCAACATTGTTGATGCTATGTTCGGATCCGGCAACTAAATATTTCAACCTCCTCCACAAATCCTTCACTAGTTTATATGATGGGGTTCCGGTTAGCGAGATGATTGGTCGTAGTGGGACTCCTTCTTTGTGTACTTTTGGTAGTCCATAGAACAGTGCAATGTTTGGATCATCAGTTTTCATTCTCCATCTCTCCGTGGCGGTGAGCTCGTCTTTTGTTTGTAGTTTCCTCAACGTTGCATTAATCTGGTTGTCCAGTTTTGAACTTGGATCTTGGTCGATCTGGCGATATGTAGTTGTGTCTGATAGCAGTTCTCTGACCTTGGTAATATACTCCGGCTTATCCATTATCACCGTCATGCGCACTTTATCCGCTGGTAGGATTACAATGTTCTCGTCTTTCTGTAGACGTCTGAGTGCATCCTGTTCCTCCTTGTTTAGGGTCTGGGTGCGTTTATTCCGAGTAAACACTGGGACAACGGCCTGCCGTATCTGTTGCTGGGACTCCTCCGACAGTCCATTTGATTTCAATGCGTGTTCTAAGCTAGCCAAGTAGTCTTTGGGGCAAGCATCTCTGACGTTGAAGTTAAGCCCCTTAGTCATGTCATCCTCTTCAGTTGCTGTGAGGTGACGGAGTGAAAGGTTTTTGATCCATCCTTCACTGCTAGTGCAGTCATTTCTCTTAGTCAGTTTGTCTAACTTGGTGTTCAATGCAATCTTGCGTCGGTTCTTGGTGCTTTTGACTCAACGTTCAATTGCGGATTCAAGCGGTGTTCGTAGCTGTGGGTCAATAGTACTGAGGCACTTGATTCTATTGTCGGTTATGACTTTTTCATATTTGCGTAGGCGATTGTGGGCATCTGTTATCATCGGTCTGACCATGCGTCTCCCATATCGTCGTGCTAAGTTCCAGGCGGCTGGATGGTTTAGCGCTGGTCTGTGGTTTGTACTTGCTGGCAGCACGTTCCTTCTCAGGCATTCATGAAGGAACTAAAGCTGTTCGCGTGTGCAAGCTTATCGGCAAGGAAATGTTTCCCAACGGTTCCGTTAACGCTTCACGAAACCTTCCTCGTTGCACCCGTGACCCATTTGAATAACCGACAATTTAACCGTCGCTGCTAACTCAGCTTGGTAAATGCACCCCTCTCACGCGATTTATGTGTCTATGTATTTATCTAGCCTTTCAAGTACACTTGGTATCACATTGTCTGCCGCAACCACGATAATTGGCAAACCCCGCCTTGTCTTCCGGCCCACCTGTAGTAATTCCATCGCCGGTACTAGCGCAGCGGCCAGGGTATGCATATTTGTCGATCGTTCACAATCAGACACTTCTGTCCGTCGCAGGCAACTCTACCACGTTTTACCGGTTTCTCGATCCTGTAGCTTCACACTGTTTCCCATCAACTTTAAAAGTCGTCGTTCTTAACATGCGCAAGTTAGCGAAGTTATCTCCTCTGCGCAGTTGATGAGTCTAGGGACCAGTGATGGCGTTCACGGACCCTATCCCAATTCGGTTAACATGCCTTAGTTACATGTGTTTTCTGAGCTTGCTCAAATGGCTCCACTATTAGCGACTAGATTTTTTTCACGAGTCTTTCATCTCACTCGCTTCTGTCCTAGGTTCTAATTGTGCTTCATTGCCTTCGCCCTTCCTTTTCATCCGAACATTGCAACACCCATCCCCTTCATCTGTTATCACCATTTTGTTTTTCTCTATGCATCATTCGCTTTCCATCATTCCATGTTGCTATATTTATTTTTCTTGTGTTTTTCTTCCTTTCCAGTTTATCATCGATGATCCAAGCGCGGATTTCCCTTCCGAGTGTGCACCGAAGGTGTTCGAACCTCACTCCATGCAGTCCGTTCGCGAGAGCGTGCTGCAGTTACACGAGGTTAGTGCACTTTAGTCGACATTGACCACCCACACACGCACGCACGTCCATGCATTCGCGCTTTCCCCCGTCAACTGCGATCACTGTGTTCTTTAGCCCCTTCTAACTCTGCGGCTTTCCTCCCCTCTCCGTTTCTAGCTTGCGATGCAGCGCCGACGCCGGCGATTTAGTGGTGGTAGTCTGCGTTTGGATCAAGTGAAGGCAAGCTTCGTACTGAGCGATGACAAGAAAATGCCTGTTGGGATCTCACCGGCTATTTGCAGACCTTCCAACTGGCTAGTGGAAGAATGGATGCTGGCGGCCAACGAAGCAGTTGCCAAACATCTCGCCGCCCATCTTCCAGCCGTGGCCTTCTTGCGGCGTCACACTGCTCCGTCGTTGAATCAACTACTACGAGCGTCCAGTCAGCTCGAATCTATCGGCATCCATGTGGACACAGAAACCGCTGGGTCTATCCAGGTGAGCAATCCTTGTCTGTTGTATCCAACCTTACCTGCGGCATTCTCCAAATGTATCCAGATAGCATTGCATTGCTTAGAACTGAGTGTTCTCTGTTTATCTAACATCGTCTCGCATTCTTGTATATGAAGTTCATCTCACCCCTGGACAACCGGTACATTCTCATTAGGGATCTTGCGCATTGTTGCGACCAATCCACTGGGCCATACAGTGCTACTTTGGATCCTGCTTTGGTTCAGTGTTTTTCGCTTAACTCTCCGTCTCCAAACCCGGAATTGATACTAAGCCCCGTTCGTTCTCATGCGACAGTTTGTGCCCCCTGGATGTTATCCGGCTCCCGTGCGATTCTGGTTTCTCATCTATTCAACCGTCACAGTGAGCTCTCTCTCTAACTGCAGCACCTCATTCGTCCCACATGCCAAATTTTGGTTCCAATCACTACGCACGCCAGTCCATGCCTGCTGCAGATACGTTCTCGACATTCGAATCGCTTCTTCTGGTAGTTCTGTGGTTTGCGGCAATAGTTTAAGGTGATGGCACAACCAACGTAGGCCCTTTGGGTAAGTTTCCTTCGATGGTAGACCGGTTAACCGCCCACCATGCTCTGTGTACTGTTGGCCCGGCTACAACCTCATAATTCAGGGTTCATGCATACCGTTGTGTGCTTCGCCATATTTACACTGATACTGTACGTCTGATGTCACCCGTGGCTTTCAACTTCAATGCCAGTGGCTTCTGACAGGCATTGGTCCGTCCATCAACACAAGCTACCATTTTGCACATCGGTTTGGGCTGGTTGTGTCGAATTTCAAAGTGACTTTCTTGCTGTCTTGCTCCCCAACGTGTGTCGTGGGTCTGTGTTTATCTCGGGACCCCAACCCACATTCGGCTGTTGGTGGTTTCGCGAATCCGAGGTATTGGTACAGTGTGTGCCCATACACTATTGATACCTTACCTGATGATCCGATTCGGCATTATCCGACACTCGATGGCAGTTCCACGACAAGTACACTCCTAGCTGAAATCGTGCTAAACAGTAAAAAACGGAACTTTTGTTCACTTTTTTCAACCGACAAAGTGAAAAACGCGACACGACTACACTGGAGGTAGGGGGCTCGTCTTCGAATGAGCTACTCCTGCGCCTTTATTGGTCAACACTGGGATGTTTTGATTGGTCTGTCAAAAAAATTAAACAGGAGCGTTTTTCATTTCCTCTGGTACACATTCCTACCCAAGTTCTCATGATCTTCAGCACAGTACGTTGCAGAGGCAATCTCGGACAGGATCTGGACATTCGCTACTATTATTGCTCATGCTTGAATAGCCGTGAAATGTATATCGCTCGCGATGACTGACAGTTATACTATGCAATGCTTGCAAATTTACATTCTGGTGGTCGAGTTTTTGCCAAAATGCCATCCGTTAACGTTTCTTAGCTTTTCCATCAGATAGCCTTCTCACACCATCTCGGAGAGTACAAGCACTGCGATTATACGCTACGTATTATACCACTTAACGACTAACGCAAGGCGCACTTTACCACCAGTTAAGCTGTACGGATGATTTCCAGTTTGATATTCGTTTTACGCCGTTTTATTACTGACCGCAGTTAACAGCCCAGTATCCTGTGTACTGTTCAAAACCGCTTGCTTTATGGGACCTAGCTATCTCTTTAGCATCATCTCAGATCGAGACCAACTTACATCAGCGGACTCTGTACTAAGAATCTCGCAGACTGCAGCTGTACTACTTCGGTAACAGCATGCGGGTCTTATGCTCGCCTGAACCAGTTCTCAGCGTCAAGTTGACCTTCAAGCTTAATATCGGGTTCATGAACACAGGTCTCATTGATACGGTGCACATTTGAATCATCATTCAGTTGCCACTCGTTTCTCTGACTAACCCTTGTTGTCCGTCCCATGCCGTCTGCTTGAGTCAATTGCCCTGCATTCACTGTTAGTTCGCTTCGGCCCGGTCCGATTCACATCTGTCTGGACCACATTGGACTTCGTTCAAGCCGAACTAGACTTATTTTGCCCTCCTTTCGGTTCATAGAGTTGTGACCAACTCACGCGGGCGGCACTTGATTGCCTTCATGTCCAATGGCCCCGCGTCGGTTCCGTTTGCCCTAACTGCCATTCACCTCTCCGGCCATGAGATTTGTCTCTTCCTCTCTTCAGCCTTTCATGCTCAGACGAAATGATAGCCACAGGTGTACATGTACTTGGAATGGGAAGTAACTTGGCGGCTTGCTTGTGTGCGATACAGCAGCTTGTTTCGCGTAGTCTTTTCCCTCCCTTTTTGAATTGATTACACCCTTCGTGTTTTTATGCACGTAGCTGCACATTACTGCGTTCCTCGAAATTCTTCTTGACATGACACATGATCAACATAATTGGCTCTATTATTCTTGTCACAAGTCGCATTCTTATTCGTTCCCAGTTAGCGGTTGTATTACTGCACGGTCTGTTTTAAAATGCCATTCTTAAAGTCGTACACTACCTCGGTGATGTGTTTTTAGTTCCCAACCAACCGGAGGTTTTCGGCTACATCCGCCTCTTAGTTGCTATTGTCAACACTTCCGTCCTTGATACGACTGCTCCTGATATTGCTAGGCATACCGATTTTGACAAACTATCTTCAGGCTTTTGAACTAGCCGGTTGTTCATTTTTAACTTTGTACTTGATAAAGGAACGTTTCGTGCCGCAATTGCGGTTTCCTCACCGTTTTCGATATTCGCCGACTTTACACCGCTTCATCCCCATTTTCAGGCATCGATTTGCCGTGAAGCCGGCTGCGCTGTCGATACTGGCTATCATTTCTCGTCGCAGCTCGCCTCTTTGTGTGCAGATGTTGCTTCGCGATTGTCACTGGCCGACGCCGACCTTGCGGAGAGTGTGGAGGCAATTGTACCGCATTCCGTAGGAAGCACCAGCAACCAACTTCCTCCTCAAAAGGTGGAGTTGGAACGTGAGGCTCGTTTGTTAGTCGCCGTATACTTGCTCACCAAGACCATGAACTTGGCCGAGTACTTTTGCCTTGGTGAGCTGTCCGATTCGGAGACCACGGACCACTACGCTCTCAACATGGAGTTCTACACTCATTTCACTTCGCCAATCCGTCGATATGCGGACATCATCGTGCATCGACAACTGGCCGCCACACTTGCTCGTTCCGCGTCGGACGAGGGGAAAGGTTCGCTGCTTTTTTTGATAGCGTCTGTGTTTCTCTGTGTGTGTTGCTGTGCTCTTTCGGTAGAACTTCAACTCTGATGTACCCAAATGGACACTTTTCTGTGTTTCTGTAGAATCGTCGTATCTTGGGGTTGCCATAGTTTGCTTGTTAACTTATCAATTCCATCTTCCGTTTCGATCACTCCTTATTACCTGGCCTAGAAACTAAATGTAAACTTCACCATGCTCCTTCTGTTCTGGATGAGTAGCCTACCTGCCTACCAGGCGATCATGTACCTTGGTGGATCAATTGCACGCTTGCTTTATCCTCATCTACGGGAGTACACTGGCAACACAGTAGTTTTTCACCGCAGTGGATCTACTATCGATGGGTATCAGCAGTTGAGATGCGGACTTAGTGCAAATCTGTGACATCCTAACGGCCAATGTACTGAGCTCTTTCTATTCGTTGCCTGCATCCGCTGGCGAGTGTCAGTAACCCGCTCAACCATTTATCGATTGGCCTAGTTTCGCATAGTGGATCAGTGCGTTGTACAACATGCCAGTTAGAATACAGTTTTGCCTTCCATGTGCTTGACGTGTTTTGCTTTATGATACTTCGGCTAAGAGTCAGCTGCTGTGCGTGAGTTCAACAATTGCTAAACTGTGACAAGATCCCAAGTGCATTGGACAAGCGTCCAGCATCAAGCATCGTTTTGCAGCCAGAAGCAGCAGCAATATCTGCTACTCGAGGTTCGTGGTGATTTCACTGCCCCATAAGTAACTGCACGCCATACACTCTTTGAGTGGGTAATCTAGCTAGGAAACGTTGCAACGCACGCCACTTTTCGTTTGGGAGCCAAGTCTTCTTGTCTCTTCGGTAGGTCGCATGTGTCCCATTTTCTAGGCCGACACATGCTAAACATCGCCCAAATTAATTCCTAGTTGGATTTGGAGAACTCGTTGTGTGGTTGCATTCCGACTCCCGTTTTACTTTGATGCAGTCCTCGGTCATTCCGATCACAAGGACCCTACCTGAAATTGAGATGTTTCGGTGTTACCCCTCTTAACACAGATACTGCAGTGTTGGGATTGAAGTACCCGAATGGTGGTTGGATCCCTTAGCATGGTGTCAAGCGTTGCCCACGGATCTTGTGGCAAAGTGATCGAGGCGTTATCAGCTAACCAATAGGCCCTGAGTAACACCCCAGCTCAGGCTATCTCCACTTGATGTATCCAAAGCAGAACGGAATCGGTCCTGGGGTGTCAGTGTTGGAAGTACCAGCGCTGAAACACCTATTCGAATCCTGTGATTCCAATCCTCAGGTGCGCTATGAACATGAGGTCGAATTTTTGCAAACTCCGATTGATAGACTGCTCGACGTGGATGAGGGCGGGCTGAAACGGAAACAGATCTCTCGTCACGGAAAGTGAACCAAGGGCAAAAGTCGACCTGTGAGGGTGAATTTTGTTGAAGAGGCAAGTCCTAAGTTACTATTGTCCCGCTATAATAGGCTTTAATAGGCTGCTGACAGACCCAGCAGACAGAGAGAAACTCAAGTCTGTGATGATTGAACTAAAGCGACTCACGGACGACGGAGAAACAGATCTCCGTATTGTAAATTTTCGGTAGTCACCCGAATTCCCCCGCCAATCCGGATTAACAGGTTTCTGATGCTTCAGGCGCGCCCAGCGGTTCCTACCGCGGCTTGCGCATAGCGTTTACTAACGTCTGCAGTCTGATGAGCAAACGCAATGAGCTCTTCTACTTTGTAACCTCAGGATCCAGAGCTATTAAGCCTTACTGAGACATGGTTAAACTCCGACGTAAACGCCCAAGAAGTGGAAATCAGCGCCTACTCGTGCTTCCACTATGGTACACCATCAAGTGATCATGGTGGCATTCTGCTTTACATCCGATCTTCCTTGTGTGGGAGACTAGTGAGCACCTACTGAAGCGCTGATGGTCTATGTGAGCAGTTATGGTGCTTGATTCACCTCAGACGCTGCGACATGCCCGTGGACGTAGTCTACTGAGCCGCTGCTTGGACTGTTTGCCGCATGTCCGCAACCACATGACTCGTCCGCTGTTCCTACTCATGGGTGGTTTCAACTAACCCTGAATACAGAGGCCTGAGGCTGAACTTCCCTCCTCTCCCGGCCATTGTGAAGTCGAGAGGAACTTCGCGAAGTTGATATTTGCACCGATGCGCACTACTGCGCGCGACTCCGTCGTGCTTAGATCTGCTTTTGACCAGCTGTGAGTAACGTGTGCATGACACTCAAGTCTTGGAGCCCCTGGGAGCGAGTGACCACTGGATGACCACTGCCAGTGTGGAACTGCCGCTGACGTATTCTCCCCAGCTGCAGCCAGCCGTCAGCTATGGGAAGGCGGACTTTAATGGCCTCACTCGAGCCAGATGAGCTGGTCGTTACAAGAGGATTCGTTTGTTGAAACCTCTTGGACTATCATTAAAGTGGGAGTTAAATCGTTATGCGTCTAATTTATACCCTTTAAGTGTCAGAAACTTGGGCCAGTCAAGCCAGATTGGTTCGACAAGGAGCACAGCAAACTAACCCGATGACGACGCAGACTGTGGAACAAATTCGTGTCATCTGGCTCTGACGAGGATTACATGGCGTACAAGTTACAGCGGAATCTTGGCAACAACACGAAAACAAAAATACGCAGATGCTTCCAAGAGCAGCTTGCAACTGCCGCAAAACTACCCCTAAGAGGATCTTCGCCTACGTGAAGCGGCGCCTGAGGCCTACAGGCAATGTGCCAGTGTTGGAAGACTCAGATGGACAGCCCCTAACCTCGAGCACAGATCGTCCACATTGGCGGCGCACTTCGCTTCCGTATTTGCAAGTGACCAGGTGTCTGTACCTAGTCCGACGATTACCGCTCCCGCTGATCTAGACAGCCTGGATTGCAGCATTAAAGATGTACACAAGCTTCTGGCAAATCTTGACGGGACCAAGCCTGCTGGGCCAGATGGAATTCACCCACTGATTCTCAAGTCACTATCGGCCATCATCTCGCCTTCTATAACTGAGCTGTTCAACAAGTCACTATCCACTGGACTATTACCGGGCGATTGGAAATGCTCAGTCGTAAAGCCAATACCGAAAGGTGGTAACCCAAGCAAAGTGGATAACTACCGGCCGATCTGCCTGACTGCTGTTTTGGCAAAGACGCTTGAAAAGATCTTGAAGAAGTCTTCTGCAGCGTCTCGAGTCGAAAAGCCTCTTGACCCCCTCATAGCATGGTTTCGTGAAAGGTCGCCCGTGCATCACCAACCTACTGTTGACGAGACACGAATGGTTACAAGCGCTAAACCAAGGCAAATCGGTCGACGTCATTTACATTGACTTCAGTAAGGCTTTTGACAAGGTAAATCATGCAGTTCTCGACAGGCTGAGGGTGTGCGGCGTTGGTGGCTCGCTGCACCAAAGGATCAGGATTTTCCTTGTTGGTCGAAAGTGGATGGTCCTGGTCGACAACCATTTAACCGACTGGTATCCATCGAGCAGTGGCGTACCCCAAGGCACTGTACTGGGCCGATTTTTTTTCTCATCCATGTAAACGATGTGCCTCAGCTACCCCAATCACCTTGTGCGTTGTTCGCAGATGACTTGAAGGCGTGGAGAGCAATCCGCTCACCCAATGACTGACCTGCTTCAACAGGACCTCGACCGCCTCTCCACGTGGTCTGCAGATGTCAGCCTTCCGATCAACCCGGTCAAGTCGTAATCCATGAGGCTGGGTAAGTGTGAGTACAGTCGAACCTACACGATGGCAGGTCAACCGTTGCATCCCGCGCCTTTCGTGCGCGACCTCGGTGTACTATCACTCTACGATCTAAAGTCCATGGACAACACGAATAGGCTTTACCAAAACAGCCTTCGGATGCTTTGGGCGCTCAGGCGCAGCTTCAGCACTTGGTTCGAAGAGATTGTCACTCGCCTCTTCGTCTCAAAAATACGACCAATGCTAGAGTATGGCTCTCCCGCGTATTTTCCTATCACCCGGGACGAGGTAGAAAAGATTGAGCGAGTGCAGCATGTGGTCACCAGACTGATTCCCAATTTACGAGGGATGCCGTAGGAAGACCGGTGTAAAAAACTAGACTTTACACCCTAGCTTATCGTTGCATGCGGGTTGACATCATGATGCATCGAATATTACATTTGGGTGATTACCCCATTTTGAGGCAACTACTGCATCTGCGCACACCAAGCAGCACACGAGGACACCGGTACAAGCTTGTAGTGTCGACCCCTAGCCTAGAGGTAAGGAACATGTCTCGTAATCTTGCCGCACGGGTTCCTATCCGCGTAGGGGTGGGCATCGCGGTACACTCAGCCCGCTCGCGACTGTTAGTTGTCGCACGGCAGCGAAACGCCGTTACGGCGTAAATCTGACATATTATTATTATTATTATTATTATTATTATTATTATTATTGTTACAGGCTTGTAGTACCCAATTTGAAGCAGGTCGCTCACCAACTCTGTTTCGAACGGAGAGTGATGAATGTATCGAACGACCTGCCGCAGTACGTGGCTGAAGCAAAGTCAATGTCGGAATTTAAGAAGTTCCTGGACAAACACTTTGCCGACGCAAAATATATTGAGCGCTACACAACCTAACGGGTCTTTGTCCCTGAGTGACATTAGATGCAGCTACACAGAGATATCTCTTCTTGCTGCTTCAAACCAGTAATCAATGAACCGAGTTCTCACTAAAGATTACGTGTCGCAATCCAGCCACATGGCGGGTACTCCAAATCCAACTTTGAATTCTTTTCCACTGTGCCAAGAGTTACTCTCGGATCTTGGTGGCATGGCGATCAAGTCGTCAGCCGTGAACCACTAGGCCTCGAGTTCCATCCCAGCTCAGACTATCACCATCTGATGGGTCCAAACCAAAATGAAACCGTCGGTCATGGGGATGTTAGTCTTGGGAGGGGCAACACTGGAGCACCCTAACTAATCCGGATTTGTTGTTCATTTGTTAAATTGCTTGCCCATCTGGTTAGTTTGATTGCATACGTCTCGTGATGATATTCTCATTGCAGAAGGAGCAGCAGTTTCGCCTAAAAGTAACAACATTGTCTTGTGATCTGACGTTGCGGGTTCCAGCCTGCGTAGGGGCATGACGAACCTCACAGTATCCTTAGCCAACGTGCGACCGGTGTCGGTTGCGCGGCAACGAAGCGTCGGTACTGCCTGCCGGCGTACTGCTGGTGCTTTTGTGTTACGGAGAGCCAGCGCGCAAGCCGAGAAGCGTGACGCAACAGTGGATCGATCTACAATTAGAGATCGAACGCGAGTCTAGATCAAAATACGAATGTATGTAGAATAAACGACAAGTCGGACCATGAACTTGAACCGTTTAATTTGTGTTAACTAATATTAATTAGCACCTCCGATTTTGTTGTATTAGTGGTTTCCTACAACCCGTTTATTGCGCCATGCACTCATACAATAAAATCAGAATCCAAATCCCTAGGTCGGCTGTTTGCTTGGTGTTCTCATTTTCGTTGTGACTTGAACCGGTTGGGGGCGGCACAACTGATACAGGCGGGTTATCTGTACAATTAGCGGCAACCACAACACTTTGAAAATGGAATGCACCTACCAAATAGGCCTCGTGGATGATTGACCATTCCTTCTAGTGTTTATCGTACTAGGAGACGCCGGTTTGTCGCCTCAAGGAACACAATCTCGCCTTGTAATTCTAAATTCGCGTAGGGGACCGGCCGACCGCAGTATCCTTAGCCCACACGCGACTGGGGGTTGTTTGGCGGCAACGAAGCATCAGTTGGGCATACCGGCGTACTGCTGATGCCTTCTTTTCATACTACGAGTTGGGTCCTCCACTTAACCCAAACAAGCCAGTTTTGCTGTATGGTCCGTGCGTCTCAACTCCTGCTAGTTGACGCTTTGCCAGATTACCTTATGTGTTGTGATCTGCAATAAAATCTTATGGAAATATGCGATTTAGGTAACTCTTGCGTACTCCACCTGTTGTCGAAAACGTGTGTAGCATTTCAATGTAGAGCGTGTCGTGACATGATCCGCTCGAGTACACAGCGTGAGGGATGTTCACCTGTTTTGCCGGAACAATTTTGTGGTCGTACGTGTCGAAGAGCTTGCGCTCGATGATGTTGAACGCGTTCGAAATCGACCTGTGATACATACGTGTGACGCTCCACCAGCAGCAGTGTCATCTGTACGTCTCCCTCCCCATCGTAGAAAATCTAAAAGCAGCGTTACTTACTCGTGACTCCTACCTTCTCAACTTTTCTGGGTCCTCTGAGTTCTCCAGGCTTTCTTTATCAGCTTACAGTTCACTTTCATTTCGCGCCTGCTCACCCCTGCGTTTGCCTTATTCGCGCTACTTAGATTCCACTCCCAGCTCGACTATCTACCTGATGAGTCTAAACGAAGACGAAACCGTCGGTCGTGGAGTGCGTTGATTGGAGAGCGCCACACCGAAACCCTCCACGTAAGTGGAGTTTTGTTCACCTTTCTCTCGGGCGCTCATCGTCTTGGAAGATGATATTCGACGATACTAATGCGAAACTGTACGCCACGGTTGCCGATTTAAATTTTGCTGTATTAGCGGGTGTAGGCGCGAGTCACTGGTTGCCTTTTTGGTACCATATGTCGCAAGTTGTTATTTCTTCTGTGTTCTCACCGACTGATTGCAAATTGTGAACACAATTTGACTAGTTGCATGTCCAGCACTTCGGGCTATGTACTAATAACAAGTGACACTGGACCACCTAAAGCCGGTGTTCGTGTCCACTTGAGCACACTATCTTCCAGTATCGTGAGCCATCAGGTTGCACTCCGAACACTATGAGTGTTAACTGCTTCTGAGTAGAATCAACCTATCTACTTCGCAATGCTATATCAAACGTTCACCGCTTCCCATGCAACCGGACTTAAGCCCGGACATGCTACTTCTGGGTGCAGATTGCTTAAACACTTTTAATTTATTGCGGTTTCTTTGCTGTCGCTCCAACTCGAATAATCCCTTACCTTTCCGTTGGACTGGACAGCTGTTTCGTCCTAAGTTAACTCGTCAGTAATGCGCACCGCCCATACAGCTTCTAAATGCTATGTAGAGCATATATGCTATACGGGAATCTGTTGTTCTAGGGACCAGCTTTGTGTCCTGCAGGAAGTAACCTTCGTGATATTGGAGGATGAGCCACGTTCTGTCACAGGTAGCTTGTACTCCATGATGGCTTGTGTCGGTCACACATGTTCAGGTGACGTTATTGTGGGTCAACAGCGGGTACCACTGCGCCAGATGTCAGTAGTATAGCAGTACCCAAAAAGTCGGACATTATTCGGCGGATCCATACCAACACCACAACAGGAGAAGGACGCTTGGGAGCCGCAGATATCTGTGCCATAAAAATAGATACGGAAGCAGCGCGCGCGGAAACCTCTAGAAGAGAGTTCGAATGGAATGAACCGATTGATGGCCACAGCCTCTGCATACGGTTGATAGTGTTTGACCTAATTACTAACCGTTTGTACTTTACATCACGAGTCGTAGACATCGACATATTGTGGGTTATATTCCTGGTGGAGTCGGGTGGTTTGCTATGCTGATGATTCCAGATAGGTTCCTTTCCGGACGCCTGAGAGACAGACTACCCAACCTGCAGCTACTGCGCAGAGCACTCAATAAATCACACCGAAATCCCTCTGCTCCCAAGTAATACCGTCTTATATTTTCACAATGCAATTTTTGTTGTGGTCACACAATGGCGGGTCAAGTTGACAGTAGGTGTCATTAGGTCAGAATGATTAATGCGTTCTCGGTGCATAATCAACAGCATTGAACCGACAGTTGTTCTATGTCGCTAATCTTAACGGTTAATGTTAAATGGGATTGGCGCGGACGAACACTTACGGAAATCAAATCTGCAAGCTAGAATTCAGCCGTCGACGGTACGTATTCCACTGTGTCCTATGTTCGCTTTCTCCTCATCTCCCTACACATGTAACAAGAGCATAAGATGGACACCGCCATTCCCGCCAGGGTCATGCATTTTAATCTTAAAAGTGCAGCTATCAGTAGTACACGCTTGCGCATGTGTGCTGAATATTTTCAAGGCAGTCCAAAGTATGGTTACTTGGTTTTGGGTCCTGTCGATGTCATTCCATTGCCGGGCACTTCATCTACATTGACGATAAAAGCCCAATTGCACTGCAGTTGCTGCTGTACATTTCCTCATTTTCATTCCTCAATCCCCGAAATCGCACTCAGTTCGATGTGTACCCTTTTCCGGATCATAACGCTCGATGATTTCACTTCTGTCTCTAGATGTTGTAAACTTGTGTTCTGTCGCCAACCTCCATTTTGTGGGGCCTTTTAGGCATCCCTCTACTGGCCTCTTACAATTCAACATTCTGCTTGGTTCCTCACAGCGGATCTCGCAGTCTGGTACTCTCGGTCGCTTGCACCCGGAAAATGGGACTCGAAGCAATTGCAAATTCAAGCGGAGATTTGCAATGCGAAGAAACTGTCGGCACGACAGGCTAGCGAGGAGAGCATGGAAGTGTTCTTTGTATTATTCGTCAAGGTATGTCTTGCATTCCATCACCTTCTGCACATGCATATTTTTACTCTTCATAGTCGTCTTGCTTGTCCTGAGGATTGTCTTCCATTCGGTTTATTGTCCTCAATAGCATAAACTGATTGTTCGCTGCCGTAAAACCATAAGGATCCACGAGAAGAAGAATACTAACTGAGAGAGAAGAGGACCTAGCGTGAGACCGTTAGATCCTAAACAAGCATTCAGGGTCAAGGTGCCTACACTTTGTCAACAACATACCGTCACAAACAGCTGCCTATCATGCAAAGATAAGGCGGCATCGACAAGACAGCTTCCTTGTGGCTTTCACTGTACCGTGTCATGATCAGCCATTAGCCCTCAGATAACTCAGCACCAAATACACTCTAAACAGACAGTCCGATTAGGAGACGACAGCAGGCGCGCCACTGGTGTCGACTACGAGCCATGTCCCGTAAAGTCTGGAAGGCATCAGTGACTTCATTTTCCAATGCCGAGTTAACTTTTGCCCACATTGGGCCTTGCACCAACTTACAGATGGTAACCAAAACAAGACCTTTGTTGCTAACTGGTGACCAAACACGCGTAGTACATGCCCAAGCCAACGCAACTTATTCAGTGCTGTCTGTTTTTTAAGGAACCGGCCCGATTAGCACTCGCCTGCGCACATCGTCCTTACGGGCACACTGGTGCCATCAGACACCGCCAGTGTTCCGCAGGCAGTGATGATCAGTGACTGATCCTCATACTGAAGATTCAAATCTCATTGCCATAGAGTAGGACGGCGTTCACGGTGACCTTATAAACACGGTCTTTCAGTCGAAGGTAATACCCTTTCTGACTCCACCCTTTTGAGATTACGTTTACGTCAGACTACGTGCTGGAGAAACGTTTTTCTCCTACTCACTCATATCCTTCGTCTGCGACAAGATACCGCTCCTTGTTATGTTTGCAGATCCAGCTATTTCGCCTAACATCCATGTAATGAAATTTATTTGCCCCGTCCTCCGTACGGTCACTTCAATCACTGTGTAGCGCACCAATTAGGTGTCCACATTTGCCCACCACGTTCGTCTTCTTATTTCTGCTTCTTTTCATCTCATGTTGGCTTCTCCGTCTGGAAGAACTGCACTCGCAGACGGCTATCGCTGACTGCATAGTTCAAATGACATCTGCTTAGAACCACTGTGCTCCTTTCCTGGTTTTCTGTTCTTGTCCCTTTTAATGCCGATGGCGTCTCTTCCACCTCTGTTTGGTACCTCACCGACTCATTTGTTCTCCGTCGGCGTAATGCTTACATTTGCTGATTAGTGTTCCGCTGTGTTTCTCCATCCAGTTGTCTGTTTTTACTATAAACAACTGGGATATACCTTACCTTGTAATGTTGGATTTTTGTAATGAACCTGACCCGGTCATTTTTGTACAGGTTCTTTGCGAATCCGGTTCAATTTGATCGCCATAATGCATTTGAAATCGACGGTTTGTGATCTCGGAGACCGTTAAGATTATGAAACTATTAAATATTTGCGGATTACAAATCAAGCAGTAGAGAATAGGAACGGTAAAAGGCAGTCCAATGATTTCTAAATACCATCCACCTGAAGAGCACATCGTATTCTGTCTAGCATGTGAAAGAAGCTCTAGCAAACATTATAAGATGCTGACCAGTGGAAATTCTTTCGAGAACGGCTTTCTTGTGCTGTATGCTAAAATATCATGCGTACGCAGCTGAGGCAAAGCAAGATTTCTTAGGATACTTAGATATTTCAATGATTAAAAGTTAATATCACTCACCCTAAGTGTGCACCACAAGTTTTCGGACCAGAAAACGCTTGAATTGATTGGATGTGTAACATGATTTTCGCGCCCCGCTTACCAGCTTTCAACCTAGCGTTAGCATATATTTTGGGCCATGTAAAACTGAGGTAAAATGTTTTAGCTTGAAGAACTACTTTGTGGAACCTGTGTGTCCAAGTCAATCTTACCCATTCGCTTCCTGTCGTTTCTAGGATTTTGGGCCTCTTGTGGAAACGTGCACCGTGATTGGTGTTCTTGATCGATCTTTTGACGTCCTCATCCTCTCTTGCGGGCTGGTTCGTCGGGTTCACCTTAAGGCGAGTCTTTCCTTTGCCCCGTCAATCATATCACTTTCCTAGTGCCCGAAAATTTCCGTGCCCCATGCTACTACTTTTTAAACATGTTTCATTTTTATATCTCTGTGCACCTGATTCCAGCCCCTCTCTTTTATGCAAGTCTTGATGTTCTTGCTGGTAGTTGTTCAGCTGATGTCCGTTTCGTCACTGACTTGTAATGCAAAAAGCACGGAATCAATCCATGAAACTTATATAGTCCGGATTTAATAGCCTGTAGCTTTAGGATTACAACGCCAAGCTTTGGAGACCTGGTGTCGCGAAGATCAGGAACAAACACTACTGATGAGTCCCGACAGAATGAACAGACCCCTCCCTCGAAGTGCGTTTCCGGCTGTATGGGGGGTTATCTGACACCTAAGTTGCCGCAAAAATCGCCCAGTACATTACATCAGAAACCCCCACATACCTCTACCGGAGACGTTCATCTATACGTGACTAATCTTAATCTTGTGATCGTAATGACCGAGGTCCACTTAGGACCGAGGTCTGAATAGAGATTGCGAGTCGCAATCCAACCACACAGCGAGTACACCAAATGCCACATGGAACACGTTACCGCTGTGCCAAACGTTGCTCGTGGACCTAGGAGCCATAGTGGTCAGGGCGTCAACCTTTGAACACTATACCTCGAGGTCCACCCCAGCTCAGGGTATCTCCATCTGATGAGTCCAAAGGAGGACGAAACCGGTCATGGGGTCTCAGGGTTGGGAGGAGCAACACCGAACCACCAATTCGGTTACGGTCCTTGTGATCGTAATGACCGAGGTCTGAATAGAGATTGCGAGTCGCAATCCAACCACACAGCGAGTACACCAAATGCCACATGGAATCTTAAAGGTTGCTATGTGACACGTAGCTTTACAACTAAGCCTTTACTTCCGAATGTTGCTTCTTTAACCCTGTTTATCCAACTTTGGATCAGTGAAAGAACTGGCGTTTCACCCACCCGTCGGTATCCAAGACTTGGCGCGTTTTTTTGTCGTTATCGGTCTTCTCAGTAGTGCACGCCTATCCAATCCGTCAGGATTCGAACCCATGACCACCAGCGGCTTACACCGCTAGTCAGCAGCTTATGCCACTGGGTCACAGAGCATAGTGGCGGATTATCATCATTTACAAGCTAACTGCGATATAGCGCGTCTTATCTTTCACAGCCATGCAAGTTACAAACATTGCAGAAAACAGAGTTGGCCCCGAAAGATACCGCTTCCACTGATAGTAGCTATGTACGACATAGAATTTAGTAGCAGTAAGAGTGAATACTTTTTTATACCCTTGAGTATGCAATCCCGAGCACCATCACAAGTGCTGTGCTGTTGCCGTGGGTGTTTATAACGATGGCGCAATTCGAGCTTGCTTTGCAAGCTACTGGGGACAGATGTTTCTCCGATTTCGAGTGTTTCTTCCTTTCGTCTTCTACACAAGTTGTTTTTAATTAGTGCCGTTTCGTGATGAGATATGTCTCCATGCAATGCTTATGTCAATCCTGCATCAACCTTACTTGCCCCGTCTAATCCAGCTTGAAAGTTTCTCATACTCATTTCGTTACCTTATATTGCTTCAGCATTCAAGGTATGGTTTAGCCATCAGATGCGCCTTTCTCTTTGCACGGCAGTGAGACCGTCGCATGCTTACCTGTACTGGGCTGCCGCCGCCTTGTTCGTGTTTCTTAGTCAAGGCTGCGCTGCGCTGCGCCCGACCTTTCCATCGGGCTTTCCTTCCTATTTAATACTTACTATCTCCGAATCGCGGCAATGCGCCGGCTCATTTGATGCACCAAACTCAACTACTCATGGGTCCGGGAGGCTGCTGTCTGTCGGTCACCGAAAGGTTTGCGCACTTGCGTTGTCCTCCTGAGGTCTTTGGTTCCAACCAGCGTAGGCGCGGGCGACATTGTATCATACTCAATCCTTGCAACTGGTGGTGGTCGCATGACAGCGAAGCTTTGGTACAATGTGTCTGTCTACTGATTATGCCAAGAAACTGCTAATCGTAGCTGAGAGGGACGGGGTTTGCGTTCTCCTATCGCGTACCAGACTCCTATGGTGGTTTCAGCACGAGACCAGATTCGGTCCGTCTCAACGTATGCTCCCTGCATGCACAAAACTCACACTTTCTACAATGGCTTGTCTTATATCTGTCGCTTATAACCGTTGTCTGGACATTGGAACACTCCCTGAATTCCCCATGAAGTCTGTTCGTGTCCATAGAGCGTTAGCCAGCTCCGTTGCAGTCATAACTCCAACTCGCATTCACCCTTACCTTGAGCTCTCGAGTTTGCACTGGATATACTACAGGTATATACGATTATCTCTGTGTGGCCATTTTGATTCATCCCCCCCACTCACCTGTTGACACAGGCAGTGACGAACGGATCCAACACTAGATTGCTTGTTTTTGCACATCAAATCCCATGTCGGGAAACCTCGGTATCTACACAGAGGAATCCCGACCACTAGTCTACGTCGCCAAACGACTTGTGACTTATCATGTTTCATTTTATAGCAATCGAATATTTTGCCGTAGTTCACTTCTCTCAACCCGTTTCGTGATCCATCGTCTGTTCCCTCGCCAGTTCGTTCCTCATTTGCCAAGTTGAAAAACTATCTCAAACTCGTAGTGCATCTGCAAGACTTCTGGTCACATGCTCCTCGTTTTGTGACGATGTTTCGCTTCGTTTTTGCAGGACCTAGATTTGAGAAATAATGAGGTGATCGACGCACGAACAACTCGCCGTAGCTCGCCAGCTATCAAGTTGTGTCTTTTGTGGAACAGTCCCCCACCACCATGCACCGATTCATCCACTCAAGTGGAGCGAATCTCTTCTGTTTCCGTTGGTGACTCGAACACTGTTCCCAGCTGCGGTTGCTTTTACACCGAGATTAAGATGTTAGATGTGGTCCTTTGCCAAGTCACAATCGACCAATCAGGCACCAATGCGAATTCAACGGTCGAACCCTTGCAGAACGATGCAGCCGAATCACGGACTACTTCGTTACCAAAACTCAGGGTGAGATTGCGTTTTCCTCACTTAGGTTTAATTTGGAATTGGTGTATAATGCCTGTTTTCACTCCCAACTAGTCATTTGAATGTGACTGGTCTACTTGTATCTACCCATAGTGTTGCCTTGTGCATTATCGCTTGTTTTATGCTCATCTTGTACGAGCCTACCCCTTGTTTTAGGACCATTTTCCTCATCCAGCTTGCATCTACATCTCCGCAGTACTCTTTGTTTCATTTGGCTGCATGCTGCTGCGTTAGACGCGGCTGCTTTTCGTTCTTTCGGATGCTTACATTCTCTTCAGTTATCTATGCGGATTATGGGTCACAACCACCATCTCATCATCATCATCAACAGCAGTACATCAGCCATTTGAACTGATGCTTCGCTGCCATACAACCATGAGGATCTATGAAATAAAGAATAAAAAGAGGGAGAGAAGGGGGACTTACCTGAAAACCTTAATGCCCTAAGCAAACATTTAGGGTCAAGGCGCCTACACCTTGTGTAGACAACATACCGTCACAAACAGCTGGCTATCGTGCGAAGATAAGGCGGCATCGGCGAGACAGCTTCCTTACGGCTTTCACTGCCACGCGTCATAAACAGCCATTACCCCGCAGATAACTCAGCACCAAACACACCTTAAACAGACAATCCGATTCGGAGACGGCAGCAGACGCGCCACTGGTGTCGGTTGCGAGCCATGTCCTGTAAAGTCTCAAGCCAAGCACAAGGCGAGTCACGTGGACTCCAACCCGGAAGGCGAGACGGACCAACGGCACCCAGTTTGGTCGTCAGTGACTTCATTTCCCGTTGCCAAGTCAACTTCTGTCCACCGCGAGCCTTGCGCCACCCTACATCTGGCAGACTAAACAAGGCCCTCCTAGGTAAGCAGTGACCAGGCATGCGTAGCACATGCCCGAGCCAACGCAACTTATTCAGTGCTATCTGTTGTTCTAGGGAGCTAGCATGACTATCACTATCTAATACTCGCCTACGCACATCATCGTTGCGGACACGCTGGTGCCATCCGACACCAGCAATGCTTCGTAGACAACGATGATCAAAGACTTGAAGGCGCCTCAGATCTTCAGACCGAAGGGGCCAAGTCTCACTACCATACAGCAGAACGGCCCTCACTGTGGCCTTGTATACACGGCCTTTCAGACGGAGGGAAACTCCCTTCTGTCGCCAAAGATGACGCAAGTTCAAGAAGGTAGCTCTGGCCTTTGCAATGCGTGAGCTCACGTCAGTTTCTATGCGCCCATCATTGCTGATGCAGCTGCCAAGATAAGTGAATTGATCAACCACCTCGGGTTCCTCGTTAGCAAGCGTCTAGGGGTCATCAAGTGGCTGGTGGTCCTGCAGCAACACTTTGCACTGTGAAGGTGCGAAGTGCATACCAAGTAATGGGACCACTCTGGATAGGCTATTCAGGCTTGATTGTGCCGCCTCAACATTGTCGAATAGCAGGACGATATCGTCCGCATAATCTAGATCAACTAACCTTTCACCAGGCAGCACTTCAACGCCTACATCATGAGATTCCGCAAGGGAACATTCCATGATAGAATCCACGACGAAATTGAACAAAAACGGGGAAATCGGAGAACCCTGACGCACGCCACTTGTGGTCGAAAAGCGGTCCGATAGGACACCATGGACCCTGACGCGGCCTGTAGTGTTTGAGTATAGAGCACGAAGGATGTTCACATATTTCGTGGGAACACCTATTCCAACTGCACTCATTGAAGCTTTCCTGTTCTCACCTACCCTATCCACTTGTGTTCACCTTGTTTTGAGAAAGCGGTATGTGCAGAACCGTAAGTGGAGGCACACTTCTTCCGTTCTTCCTTAGTATTCTTGGTTTTTCAAGCCCTATCTCTTATTACACCCGGATGTCGCGCGACTGATGGTAGCCGCGTGGTGGCAAGGCGCCGCTACGGTTTGCCGGCGTACTTCCGATTCCTCTTAACTAAAAATAGCACAACTGTCTTGTATTCGGTTAGACTGGGCAGTCTTAACACTGCTGCTGCTTCTGTTGCATCTGCATGTTTTCCATGCACCGTTGTAGCATTTAAAACCTTATTCGTTCCTCTGCTTCGTCTATTTATACTTTGCTATTTTTCTCCTCCCCCCCCCCACTTTTCCCTGCGCTCGCATTCTCAGGTCACTCTGCTGCGGCCAACGTGCTCCAAGTGTTGTGCATCATCGGTGGTGACCTAACCCTCACGCGTCCCACCTGTATTTCGCTCATACGCGCGCGCGCCTTGTGCACGACTGACAGCACACCGTTGTCTTTCCTCACATGCATTCGTTTATTTCTGTTTGGATTTTTGTTGTTCTTGTCTTTTTTGACCCCTTTACGTGTTTTGCCACGTAGCTCACTGCATCCAGAAATCTTTGTTTATGATTTGGAACAATTAACCTTTACTGTTGACAACAATTCGAGGGATGTTATTCTTGTATTATCCTCCTGTGAAACTATAATATACTCCTACCTGGTCATTTTCAACTGTTCTGTGTATTTCCTCTGTCGACTGATTCCATCAGCTCAGTGTACCCCCCGCCCACACACACACACACACTCGTTGCCTGTGTTGCCCATCTGTAATCACATGAATTTTTTGTCACTTTGTGTCTTGGTGAGTTACCAGCAGCGGCGCGATGCTTTTTGACCTGCAACATGCCTTATCGTCCAATAATGAACAATCGGATAAAAAACCCCGTTTACCTGGAACGCCGTAAACCACCAGTTTTTCGTGTTTGAGTCTCTCAACACCGACGGGACCTCATGAGTTCCGCCGAGACATCATCATCATCATACACGTTAGCTAGAGGTGGGGAACACCTCAGCTACTTTGCCGCAATACACAGAAAAAAGGAGAAAAAATGCAACTGATGCAAGCCGGCTGAGCTACCGGTAACGGATGGGTATCGTTCCGGTAAGCTACCAGCCGGCTACTGTGCATCAAAATAATTACTATGCAAAATGAGATCGTGATTGGAGGGGGAGGCGAAGAGGGATGGGGAGGGACAAAGAAACTCACAGCACGAACGCTCCTAGCCATATCAGCAAGTGTATCCAACCAAACGTGTTCATCGTCTTTCGGACCCCAACCAGAAAGCCGACACGCTCCAACCGAGGCCAGCTCAGAAGTGGGGGCCTTCATTCCTCTGGACCAAATCGTCGCTTGGCCACCCCTCCTCTTCTCCCATCCACACCCCCGGCGCGCAAACAACGCACGTCGCGCGAGTCGGTGGGCTGGCATGCGTAACACGTGGCCGAGCCATCGGAGCCTGGTGCGTGAAATAACGGTGCTGAGCGCTTCATTTCCTTTTCCTGTGCCATAAACAAGGCGTCGAACACGCTCGTTGCTCACGCGGTGTTCCCACCAGATGTGAGCTAAATTACGAAGGCACCGGTGGTCGAACGTAACTAGCCTATCTAGGTCCGCTGCTTTAAGCGGCCAGGTTTCACAACCGTACAGTAGGGTCGAACGTACTGCTGCATTGTACACTCTACCCTTCAGGGCGAGAGTGATGTCGCGCCGGCGCCATAAGTGGCGAAGGTTAGCAAAAGCGCCCCGAACTTTTGCTATGCGGTTCGTGATCTCATCCTCAATCCCATGGGCGCTGATACAACTTCCCAGATAGTTGAATTTTTGAACGACTTCTAGCTGATTCCCACCAACGGTCAGCGTATGAGGCGGTCCAGACCAATCTTGGAGGAACGCTTTGCATTTCGAGGGTGCGAAGCAAAGCCTGAAGTGACGGACAGCTAGTGCTAATCTGTCCAGTGCCGCTTGACATGTTTGTGAGATGTCACAGATTAGGGCAATATCATCAACATACTCTAAGTCAAGAACTCGTTCTCCTGGGAGCAGTTCCACACCTTCAAAGTCGTGTCCTGTGGACGCGATTTCCATGACTTCGACACGTGAAATGTTCACATATTTCGCTAGGTGTAGGTAAAGCAGTCTTTGAACTCGAGGAACCGAGAGATAGTCTTAAGAGAGCAAGATAGAACAACATTTGTACGGGATAGCCTGAATTCGGATTATTTCGTGTCTTCTGATTCAGCCGCTTACAAACACATCGTGTGCTTGCGGTAGCATGTACATTGGCCGAACCGAGAGAAGGCTATCAACTAGGATCATGGAACATGTTCCACGGAACCTGGCAAATAGTGGCCCTAAACTCCCTGCCAGCTCAATCGCTCAGCGTCTGCTCGATTGTACCGTGCGCGAAAACCCACGTGACACATTCAAGGTTATTAGCAGACAAAACAACGCGAGCTTGCTTCCTTTCGCTTAAGCCTCTGCCATCCGGCTAATGCAACCAAACCTTTGCAAACAGGTCGACCTTGTGGCCAGTCTTGCCTTGCTCTTGTAAGAGATAGGCGATGGCCTTGATTTTCTCAGTGTTTTATTGGTTTTCTTATTGACTCTTTTTGAATTGCATTCTTTTACTCTTTCCACAATTTGTCTGTAAGCGACTGAATGAGAAGACACGAAATAATCTGAATTCAGGTTATCCCGTAAATGTTATTCCTTCATAAAATTCTGAAGGGAAATGTCTGCACGAGAGATAGTCGATTTGCGACAGGTATGACGCTAATTTGAAACTTGTCCGCTCGATCTGTGACATACTTGTTCTCTTTCGTTTGCGAAATCCTGAAACCTTGCCACCACGGCCATCACGCTGATGCTTCTGCCGTTCGCACGAATATTACAGCTACCATTATGACGTATTCTCTTCAGTTAGCTGGTGTACGGTCTCTTCTTTCCGTACCAGTCTTTAACATATGGTTGGTTAGTTGACACATGCTTCTAAGCTTCGTTGTTCTGGTTCCCTGAAGGGGAAGAAAAAAATGCGCGTGTAGAGCGAAACGGCTGTCTAGTGCTTTTCCCAAGTGGTGGTGAGATGATCTGGCTTGTGAACTACTGGAACGACTTAGTAAATTTACATCAAAATCTTACACATTAGTAATACTAGTGAATTATTTACTGAACACATCACCATCGTCCTCGTGAACCATCTCTTCATTTTGGGTATCTGTGCAACTTGATCCTTAAGCAGCTTGGATACAGGAGGCGAACATGCTGCTCCTTGAATCTATATTTAAGGGTGATTCCGTTTTGTGAATGCAGATACAGGTGCGCATTCCACCGTACGTATGTACTTTTCGAACCAGCCAGTCGATTGTTGCCAGTCTTTAGTTAAGGCTTGAGATATATCGTGCCCACAACGTACCTCATCCTGATCAGGCGCGGCTGTTATACATCTTATCGACTGGTACACAAAAGTCGGTCTCCACCTCTTTCAGATGCATAAAACGATTCCTTGCATCTCCCGGCGGTATTTTCGCCAATTATCACCTGCTGAATGGTGATGTGGTTCACTCGGTGTTGTCGTTGTACATAGACGAGGTTTGGAAGAGCGGTTTCTCGGGGTCCACGATGCTCCGTGGTAATTCACACGATCCATGTAGTATGGTATACTGTCTGACCTTGTGTACGCCATTTTCAATCGGCTATTTGTAGGGACCACATTTCGGTGGAACCCTATTTACTAGCCCCAATATTTTACTCTGAAACGGTGCATCTTGCCTTGCAGTCACTGTATCGGAATCCTCGGCTATACGCAACCATAGACAGGATGGGACAGGTTCGGCGTTCCCCGTGTCGCGCCACCCTCAGTGCGTGCCATTCCACCGCTGCTGGGGCACTTAGTTATAATATTGTGTGCTATTTGCGACTTAGTTACCGATGTTCTTGACTTTGCAACATTTTCCTAGGCCGAACTCGACATTATTCCGGCTATGGTTTTTTTTCGTATATTCGTCGTGTTTCCAGTGACCCAATTGAAGGCGTCTGATTTCACTGATCTCACTACTCAGTCTCTGTTTTCGATCATTTGATTGAAAACTTCTCCCGGCACCTGCACAGCCTAGGTTGTTCGTTTAAAGCCTCGAATATGGCATCTGTACGTTGTCACTCTACGGTGACTCCTTGGTTGTGCCAGCTGATGTTTGTACAGACAGCTTCACTACCTAGATGAGATCAGTTTTGGTGGGTTCTATTACCAGACGAGCACATCTGCACTATCGTATCGCAGCAACCGCGCTGCATTCGTTGTGTAGTGATTCAGGTAGTTGGGTTGCGACCTTAATGGATCAGGTTCAATTTTCCACTACCGCTTGGATTTGGGCACTCTTGTAGTATCCAAGTTCACAATCAACCACCCTTATTTCCCTGATATGTAAGTGTCAGCATATGATGCCGTTGTATTGCTGCCACTCTTCCCTTAATTTGGGGGTTGTGTTTCAAATCAGTCAATAAGCCTGGCTATCCCTTTAATTTCCGGTTTTTTTTGATTCCTCACTTCAAATCTTGGCGCGTTGTCTTGTAATCAACCAAACTGTCCTTTATGACACAAATGCCCTACGTTGCCCTTCCTTATCCCATACCCCGGTACTGTCTGCACTGTTGTTCCCTTTTCAGCATTATGACTCCGTCGCCAATATTTACCAATTGGTGAATTATGTTCGGCCCTTTGGTGGCCACACTGGGCCACCCCAATCCCCGACCACTCCTACGGTTATTCTACAGGGTGCGGGCCCACTTCTCTCAGTCGGAGGTATCTTCTTGCGCACCACCTCGCTCCTCTATTTGCAGTCCCGCTTCCGGCTCTGGAAAAAGTTTGGCTAATGGATCCACAACAGCCAAGGTCTCTTGAACAACTAATTATCCATCTTTATTATGCTTTGTCTCCATTGGTACCGTATTTTCTCCCATACCGAATTCACCCACTTGACTTGCTATTATGTGGTTCTCTACATCTAATAGGCTTTTTGATTTCCACTTAACTCTTACCCGATTGAATGCAGCCAGATGTCGCCAGTTCTGTACTCTATGTCTGGGGCATAACCCATGGAACTGTTTTTCTTTGCCATTGTTTTCGTTAACTGGTTCAGTTAGCCGTTTTTCTCCTTTCCACTCGCTTTATGTAGTCTTGGTCACAAGATCTCTCCCCAGAACAGCTGGATCAGTTATTGCGAGATGGTTCGGTCTTTCAAGTAAGTACTTTGTGGTTATGTGCGCAGTTTCCATATTATTCCTTCTGCTTTGGATTTCATGTTCGAGGCTGATCCTACTTGAAGAGTGGTATCGTGTTTCTAACCTTCTATCGTCTTAGTTTTGGCTGAAATGCGCGCACCTCCTGTGTCAGCTCCGATACGATTGCGCTTGGCATGGGTATACGTATGCATAATACTACCGAGATTTTGGCTATTCGTTTTCCAATTCACGGTAATGAGCAACGTCTGACCATTAACATCTCTTCATCTCAGTACTACTGGATAGTAAATTCTACTGAACTCAGTTTTTTGAGGCATATTCTTTCCACACGGTTCTTGTTTTGCCTTGAAACCTAATTCTTCATTATGCGCCTGACAATACCCAATCGTATTCGACAGGCTAAAAGTAGTGCATATTCCACACCACGAACC